AAAGACTGGAAACAGCTAGCGTGGAATGTTATTTCTTTAAATGTGAGTGAGAGGAAGAGGAGGAAGGTGTGTGCGTGAGGAGTGACTTCCTGGGGATCGATGTGGAGTTCTAAATATAGAAAGGAACGTGTCATTAATTGATGAGGTCACTGTGACCTCACACTGTGTGTGTGGTGGCGTGGTGGGTGTGCGTGTGTCACTGTTATGGCTGCGGAATGTCAGAAAGCAGAAATGAACAACAACAAAACAACAAACAAGCAGACAACAACAATAATAATAATAATACACTTTTTCTTTGTGGCAAACTACATTCTGTGTTCATTGTGACGGAGAGTATGGACTGTTCATGGGAGCTACAGTTCTCACACTGCAGTACAGTCTCCTGGTCCTGGTTCTGATTGTCCTCCTGTTTCTGGTTCTGATCTTGATCCTATCTGTGCAGGGACCGGTGACACGGTGGCGGTGATGATCACGGAGGCATACGGTAAAGAGATCCTGGCTCACTTGGAGAGGAACCTAACGGTCCTGGTGTCAGTGGTGGTGGGTCAACGCGGTCCCACCAAAAACATCAACCGAGGCTCGCTGGTCTTCGTCTCCATCTCCTTTATCGTCCTCATGATCATTTCGTCGGCCTGGCTCATCTTCTACTTCATCCAGAAGATCCGCTACACCAGCGCCCGCGACCGCAGCCAGGTAACACAGTGCTACCACAGTGCTAACACGCTAACATACAGCTAACATGCTAACTCCTCCTCATCAGTCATTGTCCTCCTCCTCCTCTCCGTCTCTCCTCCTCTTCTTCCTTCTTCCTTCTTCTCTTCTTCTTGTTGTTCAGATGAATTATTAATAATTAATGAGGTGAATCTCTGCTGAAAGTTTAATGGAGAGAGGGTGCTCACCTCCCCTCTCCTCCCCCCTCAGTGTAATCTAACCATCCTCTCAGGACTCTGTCTCCCCCTCCTCTCCCTCCTCCCCCTCTCCATCTGCTACCGATCAACCTTCAGTTCACCTCCTGCAGTCTCACTTTGAGTCTGTCACAGAATCAGCAGTAAACACAGCTAAGGCTGACGGGAAATGTCATTATAACCCACTGACTTTGACATCCTCTAAACCCTGTAGTAGTAGTTCAGTACCAGTACAGAACCAGTACAGAACCAGTACTCTATTAGTACTGTACCAATAGAGTCCTGGACTCCTCCTACAGACAGTAGTAGTATTCAGAGTACCAGAGAACCCTCACCCTTGTTTGTTTTCTGTATTTTGGTCAGTCTCTTGCAGTACTTGTGATAGAGAACAACTTTCCCACGTTAGATTGTTGGTGGACACTTTTTCAGCTGTTTGAAGATCAGCTGTCAGGTTACCTGTTGCCGTACCTGGAAGACAGAGGAAACATTCAGTCAGTGGATAAGAAGCTGGATCTGTGAGCAACCTCCTCCTAAATGTCAGCACAGCAGAGGAGTTGATTGAGGACTACAGGAAGTGACAGGAGAGGACACGCCTCCATGAATGGGACTTCAGTAGAGAGCCAGCAACGTCAGGTTCCTCTGGGTTCACGTCAGCGAACCTGACCTGGACTCACCACCCTCGGTGACATTAGTGATTAATTGGGTCATGATAATCGGCGTCAGCCGAAATCTGTGGTCACGAGGCAGATAAACAAAAAAATCTGCTGAACGATGTCAGTGCTGTCCTTTGTGAGTTTAGACTCTGCTCTTTGGAGAATACGCTGCTGGTCTATGTCTGAAGGAAGCTGCGACCCCCTTGCATCAATCAGCACAGAGCAGATCGCACTGTCACGAAGTCAGACACAGAAACTCAAAATAAAATAAAATAAAATGCGTGCAGACTTCATACTGAATTTCACACTACACCAACATTGGGGCACGAGACAGGAAGTCAGTCAGTCAGAGGTGTCTGGTCCGGTGGAATTTTAGGGAAAGACTTTTATTTGAACATCCCTTTGTACGGCATTAATATTTGAACTCATTGAATTCAGTGTTTCTAGGCTATAATAGCAACAGTGAAGGAGGAAGGAGGAACCACAGACAAGCGTCAAATGCAAGACCTCATCTGACGGCACCTTCAGCCTCAGCAGGACCCCTCACCTGAAACTCACAAAATCCACTGATGAAGTAATAAGATTTACTCGCATTCAAATTCATCCTAATTCCTTGGAACGTTTTTGGAAAAAGTGACATTAAATCCCAGAAGCTGAAAACTGGAGGACCTCTTGACCCAGCAGTGCAGGAAGAGGGCTAACTGGATCCTCAGAATACCCAACCATCCCAGCCTCAAACTTGTCTAAACTGCATCCTGTTCTTACCTGTCTACGACTTATTAAACATTTACTACATTACTGCAGGAGCTGTCTGTCTTCCTGTCGGCTGTTACAGCAGCACGTTGTCGTCCATCGTATCTGATTTACTTTACACTGTTACATATGTTCTTGCTCTGTCTCTCAGCGTCGTCTTGGTGATGCAGCGAAGAAAGCTATCGGGAAGTTGACCACAAGGACGGTGAAGAAAGGAGACAAGGTAAAGATTTTTCTCTCCATCCTTATCCACCTTTCTGTATCCTGCTCTTCATTACAAGCTGACAGAAACCTCCAGATGGACTGACAGAGACCTCCAGACGGACTGACAGAAACCTCCAGACGGACTGACAGAGACCAGAACCCTGAGGGGACATATTGAACCTGTTTAGTTTCCGTGTCCATACAGACACAGCTAACACTCTCTGTGATAAATGGTGGGCAGTAGGACCCAGAGGTTTCAGATATTTATGTTGCTGACCTTCAGGCTGTTGATGAAACAGTGATGGATGTTCACTCACACAAAGGTGAGAGGTCACGGGATGATGGTGAGGAAAGATAAACCTGATGGAGATGAAAATATAAATCAGATCTGAAGAGGAGACAGCTGAGAGGAATTAAAAAAGGTTCTTCAGTTAATAATCTGTAACCAGTTAACCAGTTAATAATCTGTAACAGTTAATCCTACTGTAACCAGTTAATAATCTGTAACCAGTTAATAATATGTAACAGTTAATCTCGTTAATACCGGTTAATAATCTGACAGATTAGTTAACAGACTAACCAGTTAGTGAAGAAACAGCTGAACAGAAAACAAGTTTCACTATAATTTTATGTTAGAAACAACAATAATAAATATTGTTGGACAGCTGGTGTAGATATTGTTGTAGGGGAGTTTAATGTCTTTCTGTGTGTTGCAGGAGACGGATCCAGATTTCAACCACTGTGCAGTGTGTATTGAAGCGTACCAGCTGAACGATGTGGTTCGGATTCTGCCCTGCAAGTGAGTCTGAACCCCCAGCAGTTTCCACAGGGTTCTCATACTGTAACAAATACCGGACACTGTGCAGACCAGTATGAGCATTCAGACCAGTATTAGTACTGGTCCAGCTCAGACTCTGTGTTCTACAGATTAAAACTGGTCCTTCAGGTTGAGTCCTGATAGATGATCCATCAGATCCATCAGGTCCATGAATCTGTCCCGTCTGACAGTTTGATGGGCAGCTGATAAACATGTCTCTGTCTCTCTGCAGACATGTCTTCCATAAAATGTGTGTGGACCCCTGGCTGAACGAGCACTGCACCTGTCCCATGTGTAAACTCAACATCCTCAAAGCTCTGGGCATCATGGTGAGTCCCATTAATGTCCCCAGTATGTCCCACTAATGTCCCAGTTTAATAACAACGATTTACAATCTCTGCTATCAATCAATAGCCCTTTGTCTTCCAGATATGTGATTATTTTAGGACTGTCAGTGTCCAACCACTTCTCAATAGACCCTGATCCCTCTGACCACCTCCGCTTTCTCTCAGAAATCCTACAGAAAACTGTCTCAGACCAAGTCTTTATCAGGTGCTATAGAAATAGTCATTAGTGTTGTTGTTGTTATGATTGTTTTTGTTATTCTTCTGTCCTCTGTCCTCAGACCAGTCTTCCCTGCGTGGACAGCGTGGTGTTGGACGTGGAGCGTCTGGGCGTCAGTCAGGCGTCCGGCAGCCAGAGGGCACCGCTGAGCGACAGCAACCAGCCGTCCATCAGCCTGGCGCCGCTCAGTCCCCCCCACGCTGAAGCCACGCCCAGAACACCTGCTGACATCACCATCGCCGTGACCAGTAAGAATGCAGCACCACATTATCTATCCACCACGATGCAACATACCAAGATCAACACAAAACACTGAGAGCAACTTCACACTGTCAGAGCAACTTTACACTGTCACTGAGCAAACTTCAACACTGTCACTGAGCAACTTCAACACTGTCTAGAACTGACATTCACACTGTCTTAAAGCTACTCACCACTCTACAACACACTCACTGAGAACTACTCACACTGTCTTTAAGCAACTTCACACATGTCACTGGAGCAACTTCACACTGTCACTGAGCAATCATTCACACTGTCATGAGTAACTTCAACACGTTTCTTAAAAGCAACTTATACACTATCAATGCAACTTAACACTAGTCATAGACATTTACATCTGAGTACTGAGCAACATTATACACTGTCACTGAGCTAACTTCACACTGTCAGAGCAACTTTACAACTGTCAACTGAGCATTTTTACGCAGTCTTAAAGCATACTTTTAGGCAAGTCTTAAAGCAACTTTAGGCCAGTCTTAAAAGCAACTTTGCTGCACTGTTCATAGACTTAACACTGTCACTGAGCAATTATTACACAGTCCTTAAAGCAACTTCAACTCACTGATGTCAACAT